AAGAAAATGACAATCCTTCAGCTTATAGCTTTACTCTATGGAATTATACACAACTAAGTTTTACAAAGAGTAGGTTTTTGATAGTTGTTACGCTGTACTAAATGCCATGTAGACATATGGTCCAAGGATTGCTAAATTTTCCAGAAAAACTTGATTTTGTTCCATGTAAATAGTTCCTGATATGTGTCTGTGATTCTGCCTGATTTAAAGTTAATAACTGACCTCTTTCTACTGTGATAATATTCATAATCCCCTCAAATGATGATAGAAACACAGATATTTTTAATAAGAATGTTTATTCTGTGAATTAAATCATGAAAAAGATGACTTAATAATCGAGTTGTTTTGTACTTGAATAATATACTATCCATTTTATAAACTGGGAGGTAAACCATATTTAGGCAATTAGCTGGATTCATCTGGGGACAAGAAATTTTCTATTTTGAACTTCCTTATTCATCTTTCTTTCCTGCTTTAAAAAGTAAGAAACATTTAAAATGTTTTTAAATATTTCAAGGATATTTAAACATGATTAATGCAAATACCTAATATTCATTAAGCAATTAACTCTGTGATTCTCAGCCCAAACTGCACATTGAATCATTGGAGGGCTTTTAGAATTTACTTATACCTGAGAACCACCCCCAGAGATTTTGATGTAATAAGTGTGGTGTGAGACCTGGACTTTTTTTTTTTTTTCTTTTTAATGTGCTCTAGTGATTCTAATGTAGGGAAACCTGGGAAATACAAAACTACTCTATTGACCTTCACAGTATTTGAAAATAGAAAGATACGTTTTATCAAAGTCTTTCCAAAATAAGTGACTAAAATGTAACACTGAATTATTGTATTTTTCATAGGGTCAGTAATCAGTCTTGACTCTGTCTTCTTGAATATTATTCCATTTTTAAAAACCAAATAATATCATTATTTATTTTTAATTTTTTAGGCAACGTACGTACACATAGTTTGCAACTACAAAAAATTTCTATTAATTAAATAATTTTAGATTATAGAGGAAAAAGCCTAACAAATCATGAAAATTTGATAAATGAAAATTTAAACTAAAGACTAAGCTAGGGCTGAAAAACTACCTATTGGGTACTCGACTCATTACCTGGGTCATGGGACCATTCTTACCCCAAACCTTAGCATCACAAAGTCTACCCATGTAACAAGTCTGCATATGTAACCCCCTGAATCTAAAATAAAAGTTGAAATTATTTTTAAAAAAGTTTTTATGCATTTTTCCAGTTTGTCTATTTCTTCTTACTGTATTATTCCGCATTAATGGAAACTAATGGAATTCTGTTTTCATCAGTTACAATGGAACGATAGAATCAACAATGTGCCAAAGACTTTCTAAGATGTGAGAAATGACCAACTTTAAGAGGTATAAAGGGTAAGACAAGCGGAATTTTATTTGAGTTACACCTTATCTTTTCTTCCCAACATTTAAAATTAATTGTTAATTTTTGGAATATGGGCTTGATTGGTGGAATTAAGGCTGTATACTAAATATCAAATACAAATTCTTTACATCTTGTGGTAAGCAAAGCATGAATATCAAAATCAAAATAAAATATTTTAGTGAAGTTTTTTTTCCCAATTGGAAACATAAAGAGAATTAATATCTTGGAAATTCAGTATGAGTCTTGCTTTCAGATAATTATGATTATCTGAAAGACCATGTTCATTATAAGGATTATCTAATTCATAATTAGACATTTTTGTTTAATACAATGATGTGTTTTGACATTAATACATTTAACACACAATCACCAATCTGGACAAGATCTTTTATTTCAATGTATACATAAAATCTTCAGAGCAGTTAACATCCTTGAAACTTTTGGATAAAACATTTATATTTTCTACTGCCATTAATGGCAGTAAATCCCGAATAACGTGTTTCAGAGGTAAATAGAGAAAACAAGTTCACTTTTATCTATGAGATATATTAATCAAAGAAGATTATTTGCTAGCAATAAAGTTTTTAGTATTATAATGAAACAAAAAATTATAATTGATATTTTTAAAAAGTATTTATAAAATTCAAAGTGATATTACTTCCTGGACATTCTTTAATTTTTCACTTCTTGTCATACCTACCTATGTGATTATTCTCCACTTTACACAAAGAGAAGACCAGCAAGTATCTCCAATTGCAACAGTCAGATTAATGTTTCACATGCTAAAAATGTTAGTCATCTCTAATAGCTATTTCCACCATGTCTTAGATAAGTGTTTATGAGGAAAATAACACTTAGCTAAGATCATTTTTCATGATAAGCAATTACTTCATGTATATGTGTATATTTTACATATATATGCAATTATATATATGCAGTTACACAGAGACATATACATAAACACATAAGACACACAGACACACACATACATGTGTGTGTGTGTGTGTGTGTGTATCCTTTTCCCATGACGTTTTTCACCTAACATGCTGGACTAAAAGAGCCGTGGCTTTAGCCTCAGTACCGTTGTAACCATTACCAGCTTTGAGAATACGCTGTATTTATTTCCAAATATCAAAACATATTTATCTTTTGGTAAAATTGAGCAACATCTAGACATGTTTTTCTCCTTTCCTATAATATATTCCCTAGTATCTAAAAATAACCACTCAGAGGAAATAATAAACCTGATCACAGGCATATGGAAGACATGGAGAAAGCCCAAGTGCCCTGATACTAGCTGGAAAAGCCGCAGAGTCATCACTGAGCACTTGTTTGAAATGCACCACTTCAGACCCCTCACCCCCAAAGACTGACAAAAATCCAAATTTGCATTTTAACAAGATTTCCATTTCATTTATTTGCAGGCATCTCTGCAGGTATTTGCAGGTAGTCTCCTTTTCCCTCCAGTTGCTGCAGCCAGATAGATACTTGATATTAGAAGATAGGAAGCTATATTAAAATATAGAGATTCTACGGTTAGGGCAGAATTCTTAGGGCAGTATTAGTCTCAATTTTTCTTTCTTCACCTAAAGATTAGGAGCAGAAATTTAGTGGGGATGCTTTAAAAATATTAAATCATGAGTTATAAAGCCAATTAATACCTGTATTGGAGGACTCACACCTCCAGTATTTCATGAACATAAAATATTCAGAAAAAAAACTCAATAGTAAAAAAATATTTTGAGGGATGTTTCACAAACTGTGTTTCATGAATCAACAGGTTCAAAATGTATTGCTCTTCAGATTCCTTGAGGATTTCAGGTCCAAACAATTTTAGTAAACAGCACAATATATGCTCCTCTTGGAGTTTTGCAGTGCATTCTCTGAAATCCTACAGTTTAAAAATCTGTGTTGTATTTCGTTTCACATCTCCTAAATGTATTTAAACTTAGAACCATCTTTTTTTTTTTTTTTTTTTTTTGAGAAAGAGTTTCGCTCTTGTTGCCCAGGCTGAAGTGCAATGCCATCTCTTTTTATCAGGTGCAAACTGCTGAATATAGACTACAAAATGATGTGTTATCACATTGGAAATACAGTTGTTAAAACTGTAGTGTAAAGATTAAATTTTGAAAATTTCTGTACATAAACTTCTAATTATTATACATGCCATAACAATCAAATGAGCCAGCCATACATATTAAAGTGGAACTTTAACTAGAATTTGATTTCAGAAACAGATTACTATTATCTAACCATTATTGGGGGTGAGAGGACTAATAGAATCAACAAGACACCAGCAAAATTTACTTAGTACTACCCCAGAATCTGTTTAAGAATTTCCTGGATGAGAATTTTATGCGTACCTAGTACACTATATATATGTGTATCACAGACAAAATGCTGTATTTAGATATTTGGAGATGAGAAACCCTATTCTTAGAGAAGTTAATTTGTTGAAACTTACAGAATAAGTGACAGAACCAGAATTCAAAAGTCAGGCCTCTCTTCTCTCTCAATAGATAGATAGATAAATAGAAATAGATATATTGATCTCTTTCTATCTTTGTACGTATATATTATATTTATAGATATATTAAATATCTTATAAAGTAGGTTCACATAAACTGTGAGTTCCACATTATTGCAACATTTCTTCGAATGCCTGTTTCCTCCCCTTATTTAAATGAAAAGGGTTTGGCTCATTTCTTTTCAACTAATCATTTTGTTGATGCAGTATAAAATGATTAATAAATAGAGATTTTGGTTCAAAACACAATAGCTCTGTGACTGTGAGATCTGAATTTCAGTTTCCTCCCTAAAAGGAGTACACAGTAATATATTCCCTTTTGTCACATTATTGGGAAGATCAAATGAGGCTATGTAAAGGGTCAGACATACACTAGGCACTCAGGAGCTGCTGATTCTCTTCCATTTCCTTTGCAGAATATTTCTTATGGAAATGAATTTTCAATGTTATAAAAAACTGGTATCTGAATTTGATTTATCCAGCTGATATTTGTGCTCATTCAACCGACATTCAGAGTTAGTAAGCTAAATAATCAGAATCCGTGACACTACAGAATAATGATTATATGACATCTATCTTTGTGATCCAAAATATTTACTAATATATATACAACTTTTTATTCAAAAGAAGAATGACATGTCAGAACTCATAGCTCTAAACTCTTATTTGGACCAGAGGTTGGTTGGTGACTGACTGTCCTACTCCCTAGTTTGAGATAAGGAGAAATAAGACCAGACAGTAGATATAAGACTAAATTTGATTATATCTCATTAATGGCAAATTTCAAGGTCAAACAGTAAATTCTTAATTTAACTTTCTATCTTTCTGGAAGAGAAAAATTGCCTTATGGATGCCTCTGGTGGCAGCAGTTCTCTGAAAACAAAAGTTAAAAAGGTCTTTCATTATATTTTCAATGCATGAAGGGGAGGGTGGCAGGGTGTGAGGTAGTGGACATAGGAAATATATTAGGAACCCATGTTTCAGTTATTATCCTGAAATTTGAAACACTATCCCAAAATCAAAGTTTTGGTAATACCATATAATAACAGTAACTACATCACTTCTTGTTTACTGATATTTTTATTGAGGTTTGTAGCTGATGACTTTACATGTGATTGTACAGAGCATTTAAGGAAAAAAAAAAGGATGTAAAGGTTGTACAAGGGAAATATCCAATAGCTTGAAATCTGGTAGGTGTATATGAAAAGAATAACGCCATGTGTAAATATATGAGGATCCTAGGAGACCAAAGCCACAATAGCTATACTTGTTTCTAAAAAGTGAGTTTTCTTATCAACAAGGAATAGGACAATTAGTTGTTAGTTTTAAAAATAAACTATTGTTTTTTAGAAAGACATATTTTGAATTAGATTTAATGCTTGGCAAGGCGGAAAACAGTATGGAAAAACTTCCAAGTTATCCATCCACTTCCAATGCATTCGCAGAAATCAAATGAAGGCAAATCAACCTGACTCTACAAATCTTGATTTTCTAGTTCACAGGCAAAGGTCAGCGTTAAAATATACAAACAAGTGATACTTTATAAATGAACACATTCTGATTATCTGTAGTCGTTTCAAGACATATCAGTTTTTATTACTTAGGGTGATGAAGGAAATCCTTATTCTCAAATGAGACATGAAAACCAAATTTGAATGTTTTTTTCTCATTTTTATTGATTCAAAATGTCATTCAATATGTAAACCAGTTTGACAACTTGAAATTCAGGGCATTAAAAAATACTCCAGAGGACTAGGCACTGATTAGTCTAAGAATATACTCTGTCCTAGTCACTGTATCCTGAGTTCCAACCCCAAAGACTTCTACCTACTGCTAAAGCATTGAAGATACTGACTTAACTTTGCCAAACATCTTTTGATAACAATCAATATATTTCATTTTGAAGTCAGGATCATTTTGCCTGTTTTACATTCAGAAGAAACACAGGGATTTTTAAACTTAGAAAGCTATTTTAGGTCTTGGTTTTAAACATATTTCCTTGCCAATTTAGCATGAATTTTTGTAGTCTTGGATCATTGAGATGAACTTAACTCCTTTAAGATTTAAAATCCTCTGATTTTGAACTAATTGTAAATCTTTTGTAACCTCATCTATAGATCAAAGAGTGGAGCATCATCATTTAAAAATTATTCAATCTGAATGGCCATGTTTAAATTGTATAGTTAGAAGCCTGCTTTACTTTCCTCTTCTTTCAAACTCTTTCCTTTAGTATTCTAGAATGAAAGGAGCATTGGGAATACTTTTAGGTGCATTTGGATTATGGAGTACTTTGATAACCCACCATGTAAAACTGTATGTAGAATTTTATGAATTGACTACAATAATTAAAGGCAGAGAACTTGAGAGTAATATTTGGAGCAGAGTAGTTATTTGTTCAGTCTCAATGTAATATTCATATATATAATAATAAATTATTCTATAGTATGAATATTGCTTGGTTATGAATTATTTTGTACAATGTACATAATTCTAATATAATATTAATTTCATATGTATTAGAAAGATTCATAATAGAGCTCTAAACAGTACAAAGCTACTAAAAGCATTAGCTCTGTTGGTGTTGAATAGAGTCAGCAGATTAGAGAGTGAAGATGAATTGAGACAAAATACTTATATTTAAGAAACATTTATAAAATATTGATGTTTCCTTGAGACAAGGTATAGCTAGATAAGAAACATCTCAAGAGAGTTTAAAGTATTTACTGTTTCCTGTGGAATTAGCAGAATATCAGAATATAAGAAACTCCAATTTTACTTTTTGGAATACACCTGTAACATTTGGCATAGTCTATAAGATTTTTATCACTGCAAATGACTTCATTATTCTTTCCTGGGAAACTTTTCTCTGTAACTCTAGTTTAGGTCCTGTCACCTCACCATAAGTTTGCTAACTTGGTTGATTTCTGCTCTTCTGTTGTTCATATTGTAGTTGAAGAGACTTGTTTACCCCAATAGAGATTTGTTCATGTATAGTCATTCTTGATTTTTTCACGTAAGTCAAAGTTCTTTCACAATTCTTCTTAAAAATTAGTTTGCATTTACCTTTGAAATACTCTAATGGGACACAAATCATCAAATGAGAACAATGCTCTTGACACACTACTAAGAGAAAAAGAAACATCAAAACTTAGCTGAAATCAAGACATTTGAATAGTAACTTAGACGTGCTAGATGTGAAAGAAATGCTGACTTTAATTTTTTTTTTCAAATAAAGAAGGGATAGCAATATCTTTCAATGACATTATGCAAAACTATATTAACTACCTGTTTTATTGCAGAAATCACGAAGTTTTAAATATCGTAAACAAGCTATTTCTTCTGCAGGCTGTAAATAAGTGGAATCAGAGTGTGTTAGTATGTGTACAGGTGACACTTTCCCTTTTAAACCAAAGAGAGTGTAATCAGTGTTAATTAGTAAATAAGAAAGTTTCTTCTTATGGCCTAATCAGGAAAGAAGCAACTACCAACACATTTAAGTTCTGCTAGCCTACAAATGAAAATTTAGTTGTTTAATATTCTTCAGATATTATAAAGAACGTATTTGCTGATTACAAAATTAAATTTAATGTTGGGATCCATTGAATATATTTTATGAACTCAAAAAAGCTTCTTATGTAAAATCCATTTGCACAATAATGCTTCCATAATCTATTGTGCAATGTTGTTGCTTTGCTTTTGTGCCTCCATCTTCCTAATTTAATGATGTGCAGAAATCTAACATAAGCTATATTGAAAGCATTACTTAGAAATGCATAGTAATTGTTTATGTGGTAAGTTAAAATTATGAATCACTAGAAATGAACTAATTAAATTTCAACACCTTGGTCTACAATATACTGGGAAGTTCATATATATTGTTATTTTATCTCAAAAATTTTCTTAGAGAAGAAAGGATATTCATGCCAATATCTTCAGATCGGCTCAAAACTAAAAAATTAAGACTTTGAGTTTTTGGTTTTTTCACTCTCTAAATGAATTGACATGCATTGTAGTTCTGTAGTGTTTTTTCCCCTCCACAATACATCACAGGCTAAGTGCTGTGGCTCAAACCTGTAATCACGGCTACTCAGGAGGCTGAGACAGGAGGATCACTTGAGACCAAGAGTCTGAGGCTGCAGTGAGCTGGGATTGTGCCACTGCCCTTCAGTCTTTGTGACAGAGCAAGACCCCATCTCTTTAATACAGCAGAAAAATCCAAGCAGTAGCACTTTGGTACAGTACTGATAGACAAATTATAAACATAAATTGTTTCTTCATTATTAGGGGATGATACAGATTAGTCTGGAGTTGATCTTTAGACAACTCATAAACTATTTTTCCTCTCCCTTTTGGTCTTTACAGTAATGTAGAAAGTCAGTCAAAGTTTTTAATGTCATTCCTTAAAGTAAGCAAGCTTGACAATAACATTTCAACATGTGTTGGGGATCCAGGGAAGCTGAAGACAATGCCTAAAATTAAATATGTGGGTCCTTTATAAATGTTACTAATTCCCTTGTATGCTTATATCTATTATGAAAAGTTTTGTCATACCAATCAATATTGATAAAAATCTTAAACCTAAATCTTAAAGATCCTTTCCTTAATATGTCAACATTTTTAGTTATGATGGATATTTTAAAATACAGATGATAAACTACATCTTAATTTAGAGGCATTGTGAATTATTTTTTTACAGGAAGTTAAGGATATTTCCCTTACCTGCTTTTTATTAATGTATTTTCCTGATTATTGTTACTTCAAGATAATTGTTCTGTCAGTTCGTTTTTGTTATTATAATTGTTTTAGCACAGTAATTTATTATTTAACTTCAGTGTGTTTAATTATAATATAGTGGAAACAGGAAGGGATGCCCATAAAATTTAATTCCAACCAATTTCTCCTTCACCAAATTTGGACTTTGCCACAAATATTTATCAATTAGGAACAGGGGCTGTGCAACAATCCATCAGCTTCAGAATTAACTGAACATGAGGTCCATTAGCTAGTGTCCCTGATAAAGTATCATGTGAACTAGACTTCAAAGAGGAAAAACAACCAAGTCTAAAAATGTTACAAAAATATTATTTGACAAGAAAGTAAACATTTGTTTGTTTCAGTGGCATAAGTTTTACTTCTAACTGGCTAAATAAGCTGTATTATAGCTCTATACTATATCTGTTTGATGGAAATTCACTTCTTACTGGAAAGTCAGATGAACACATAAAAATATACAGACAAGCAGATCATAAATGTCTCAGGATATTAAAAAAATTGAGTCACAAAAGATGGTAGAAAAAAGAAAAATTTAAAAATCATTAATCATCAACAGCTCTATAAGAAAATGTATATGAAGAAGATTCAAGTTCAGGAATTCAACCCTTGCTAGTGTAAACAGGGCAAAATGAATACGTTAGATATATGCAAATTTCTATTGAAATGTATGTAAAATTAGTTCCTTTATCCACTTTAATTTTTTATTATGGTTACATAAAACTTGCAGGGGAAATCTCTCTCTGTTATAATCTTTGGGATCTTAAGTCTCTCTGAAAGCATGCCATTTATGATGTATAGAGTTCAAAAATCTCACTCTTTTTTCTTGATGCAAGAGCGTGGTAGTAACTTTATATGCTGAATGTTCTTCTGCACCAGTTTATGTATTCAAGTGATCTTTCTTCAACTTGGTCTATGTAGAACTTGAGAGGCTACCTGCTTCAATTTTCCATATAGAAACACAAAAATAATGGGCAGGGAGGTAGCAATGTCAGAAAATCAGCAAGCTGAATTGAGGTAGTTTCCCCATTTTTCTGTGAAACCAGCTTCTTACTGACAGAGATACTTTCATGTAGGTTACTGTTTGACAAAACAAGCATAAGTGCTCATAATCCACAGACCACATTTGTGTTTCTGAAGTTACCATAAAGACATCTAAAAAGGATTCTTTTATTGCCAAATGTATTCTACGTATCAGGTGGGTTAAACGCCTTGGACGTGCTAATATTGCCATAGTGTGGTGTGAGAAAACCGAATTACCATTAATGCTTGTCATTCTCCTCCAACATAAAATCTGTAGACTTAAAAAATATTCATGCCAATTGACTAAAAAGGAATGATACATAAAATATTTTGAGAATGTGAAGGTTATGATGCACTCTGGCCCAGCAGAAATTTTTTTGTCATGTATTTATAAACTATATACAGATTATTGGCCATTCTCTAAACTTGGTTTAAGATAGTCATTTATAGATGGATAGTGTTTAGATTTTTGAAAAAGGAAATCCCAAGATAAAACAAGCCACAGGAGAAATTATAATTTGGCAGATTCCGTTTAGCTTTGCCCTAACAGGGGATCTGTACCTGGACATTGCTATAAAGGATCTGCAGTAATGAGAGATCTAGAAAATTTCTTGGAAAGAACTTCTTTATCTTTTCCTATTTCCATCACATAGAATAAGAAAAAAAGCACAATAAAAGTCTTATTATATCTTTATAAAATGAATATTCTCTTTGCAGCTTTTAGCAAATTCAGGAAATTTGAATTTCTAACGTCAAAATGGAATGTACAAAGGAGGAAAAAAATATGACTAACCCAGACCCCAAATTTGATATTTATATCTCTGATTGAATCTATTTTTAAAGGTAAGCATAGTGACTGCACCTGGTTTTAGATAGTAAATAGTAACATATATGTTAACCTGCTCAAAATTAAGTGATGCATCTGATTTCAGCCAAAATAAACATGCCCATTCCATTTTTCTGGTTTACTTTGTCTGCAAACCTGTAAGATTTTGTGCTTAGCTTATTCATCTAGGCAGAGTGATTTCTTTTGCATGGCTCATTTGGGCCATGGAGGATTAGCAAAGTTTATGTATTGAAAACAGAAGGAAAGAAAGGCGAGAAAAATAAAAAGACTAATTAATCATATAGTACATACATCAATACAATATCTTCTAAATCTCAATCAGTTGTTTATTGGTTGGCAAACAAGTTTCACTTTTACAACAAATATTAGTAATGAGGTCATCCAACTTTGAGACCATACAAAATGGATCATAAATTAAAAAAAAAATTATATGTGCTGCTAATTTACCTTTTGTATTCCTACATTACTCAAAATCCTGTCAAATAAATAAATTTTCCTGTTAATAAACAGAAGATTTTTTTTAAAAAAATCACTTCAAAATAATTTGACCTTTCAATTCTTACTACGAGGGAGTGAATTTCCTCTAAAAATCGGTAGTGCAGGTGCCCACTTGGGGATCAGACTGAGCATTCAGCACTTTAATGCCTATGGAAAACCGTTTTCACATGCAGAAGTCCCACTAGTTCTATAGACACCTTTTGACTTCTAGAATCATAGCTAGTGTCCTGGTGATGAACTGCTTGCCAAATATGCTTTGCATTACAACAGATGTGCCCTGTAAACATAAAAGTTTGTCCTGCTCTAGTTTGCAAAAAACACTGTTGGAAATATTCTCACTGCATAAAGATATATAGTGAGGGAAGGAAGTCTAATTTTATTTATTTTATTTTTTTGTAAAAAATAATTTGTTTGCATTACTAGAAAATGATTCTTATAAAGTGATAGTTTCATTTATTTATTTTTTGCCAGGCGAAATTTTAAAGGAAAAAAAGGCGAAAAAGAAAAAAAGAAAGAAAATGAAGAAAGAGAAGAAAGGAAGGAAACTTTGCTCTCTTACTGGTAGACAAACTTGCAAGACCAGCACAAAAGAAAAAGAATTTTTTTTTTTTTCTACTACATTAACAGGACTCAAATTCTGGAGGAACAGAAAGCAGACTATATGTGCAATGCTAGTATCTGTACATTACATAGAAATTGTTCAACTTTTTTCTGCCATTAGTTTTATCATCAGTTAATACAGCAAATCATAAAATATGCATTTAGCATATAATTCTAGAATTCCCCTCCATTTCATTATTAATTTTGTTGTTTTATTTTGTTTTCCACAGCTATTGCAGTTGTGGTGAATTCAGGTTGTGAGTGACCGAAAACCCTATGTGATACAGTTTTGCTTTGCTTTTATGTTTGCTTGTGCAGCACTCCAATCTAGATGCAGCATTGTTACTAATTTCAGACAACTGTTCTGGCCTTTTAAAAAGCAGGTCCTTGTAATTTTAGTAACAGAGCATCAGAGATGTTAATACAGACACAACGTAATTCAACAAGGCCACAATGAGTGCCATTTTCTTCATATCTTGTTCATTAACATAATGAAGTCTCCATCTGAAGGGGAAAGGACAAGAAAGGATGGGGTACAGGAGAATTTTAGCAGTTATCTTTCTCCCCTGGGCTGACCTAAAAATCCCATTTAAAAAAAAAAAAAAAGTCTGAGAGTTTGTGTTTGTCTTTTGAGGACAGCATAAAGATTTAGGAGTACACACATTATTACCACTGCTTATATCAACTCAGAACAGTCAACAAGATGTTAGCAGTTTTGTTGGTTTCAATTTCTGTCTCATCTTCTATAGACTAGTGACCAAATGAGCAGGTCCTTTTGAACTTCCCTCAGGAGGGGTCCCATCTTTGTTTGGAGGAACTATAAATCCATCACTGCTGCCGCGACCTAGCTGGTAGTAAGTATGCAGCTGATGGACGTGGTTTCTGGAGCCTAGGTTTGGCATGCTTTTGTAGTAAACATCTTCGACATCACCACATTTGGCCGGTGGGGGTTCGGTCTGGGTGCTGGTGGTAACACTCTCTGTGGCGGCCACACCAGCCAGTGTCGGCATGCTGGTATAGAGAGAGTCTCTATGGGGTGACTGGAGATCTTCTGTGTGCTCGTTGGTTAGCAAAGGGAAAAAGCTCTCACTGTGGTCTTGGGGGATCCGCCTTCTGGTATAGTGGTGTGGCTGGTGGTTCTCGGTGGAGTATACTCTTGGAGGCAGCAAAGGAGCATCAGATTCCTCATGAATGAGTTCCAGGCCCAAACTCTCCTCGTGGTTAAACGAGGAGGCATCATCCAGGACAATGGCATCTTCTTCCCTTCCACTGCCAAGGTTATTCACCAGCTTGTTCATCAGATTCCTGTTCTGTTCGCTGGAGCGCTCGTGGTTGTTCAGGTAAGAAGGGATATAGTTGGAAGTGAGTTCCTTCAGAATCTTTTTCTCTAAGGCGGTCTCGTTATGGTTATAGCCACGGTCTATGATTTGCACACAGTTGCTCAGGTATTCGCCGCTGGCAATGCTGTAACTATTGCCATGGTTACCATTCAGTGGTAGAGTATCCATGACACTTGTATCCCTGGCATTGTTCAGAAGCCCCTCTGAAAAAGATTACAAGATACTATGACATTTATATCCAACAAGTCATAGAACACACACACAAACACAGAAGCAAAAACATTCATTGACTATGAAATATGTATAAATTGCTAGCATTTACTTAAGTATAAAATGTTTGGAAGGAAACCTAAAATATTATTAAATCTATATATGTGTATAATTGGACCAGTGATTGAAATCATATAAATGGGAAAATCATATTTAAAGTAGATCTTTAAAAGAATTTTTAAAAACCTATAAATTATCAATTTGCAATTGCCACACAAACATTGGCTGACATTATTTGAAGTATATTTGGTTATAACTTGACGAAATAACACAAAATTTTGGTATAGTCATTCATAGCTTTCAATTTATACACATCAAAGTCAGTTAAATAATTCATTACCTTTAATTTTACATATTGTCTTAACATCAAAATAGGTATAATATTAACATAATTCATGTGTGGTACTTTGAATATACTGGTCAAAAGTAAAAGTAATAAGCAGTGTCTAATAAATTGATACTTAATTTTGTAAGATTAAAAATAATCCCTACATAGAAAACCACAAAAGGATTATGTTAAATTTGTCAGAATGATGAGGTCATGAAGTAATGTTTAGTCAGATAAATGGCACGTCAAAAGAACTGACACCTAGGAAGTTTCAAAACAAAAGTATTTGGAATTACTTTCCAATTTTTTTTTCTGCTATAAGGACTTTGGCTGTTATTGTATGCTATGCTATTGTATACTATCCCATCAGAGATTTTTTTAGGGTCATTAGGTAATACTACAAAAGAATGTGGAAAGACACAGGTATCTGGTGCCTGAAAACATTGTGTCAGTATTAATGTTACCATTATGTAATGAATGATGGATTTGTGTGCATGTTAAAGTTTGGGTTTAAAAGAGGATAAACATTTTATTCTGGTAAGAAACAGCTGCAGTGAAATAAATCTGACCACATATTTCTTCAAGGTTTTTGCCTTCCCTTGAACGAACAGAAATCCGAGAATCTATAGTAGTTTCATAAATCACTTCAAATGCAACCACAAAATGAAAAAAACACATTTAACCAATACTGGTAAATAAGAAAGAGTGTTTATTTACAGAAAAATTAATTGGAGAATTCTATTAAACTTCTTAATATATTGGTAACTTGTGAAAATACAGCATTCATTCTATATCTGTGATGCAGTTATTTATCAAAACCCAACTAGTTTCATTACTGGTTTAAATTATGTGTTTCAAATATGTCAATTTTTATTTGGACTCCTGATGCATACTGTGTATTCAACTAGGACAGTTTTCAAAATTAGCAATGCATAAATTGTATTAATAAGCAGCCATCACAGACATAGGGTGAAGCAATTTATTTTCATTTTATATCTTGTAGACAAATCCACAATGTTAAGAAAAAATAAAAGTAAATGCTTCTTAAAGGGCTGTATGTGATGGGTGATAGCTTTTGCAGAAGCTGCTATGGTATGCTTGATGGCTATGGTTGGATGGCTGATGCATTGAAACACGTGTTTATTATTTCGGTTTATCAATGCATTAGGTAAGGGCTGAAAACAGCCATAGTAAAATAAAGTGGATATGTTGCACGTGACACATTTTTATGATGGAATGTACTAATAAAAATTAAAAGTTTATGAATTACTTAGCAAAAATAAATGCTTAATTTAAAAACAATTTAACTCACACAAACATTACATGAAACTTAACAACTATGTTGATTATGTGACAATAAAAGAATCAGACAACAAAAGCGTCTAATCTCTATTAACATATATTTATATAAGTTGATTCATAGGCTTTTTAGTTTTTAAATTGTGAGATGAACTGTTTTTAATAACTACATCATCTATATGTGATGCAATAAAAGTGAACTAAAAAAAATTACATTTGATATGCAATGTTTAGCTTTACTCCCATACTTGTCTCTCTGTAGGGCTCTAAACGACAGCATGAAGAAAAGGAAAGAAAAAACAACAAGTAAGCTTACAGCGACAGTAGAAGAAACATGAGTAAAAAGCAAATTGATGATATGCAGAAAAAAGAGTCAAAGGAAATAATTTCCACTGCCCCAAAATTCATGAGTCTGGGTTACATGATTTCTCATAATTAAAAATACTGAAATGTTAGTCAGAAAATAAGAAATCCCCCTTAACACATGCTAATATAATGAGTCTTTTAAAAAGTGTTTCCACCGTTTGTAAATTTCAAACAAATACACACTTAAGATTATCACATAAACCAAGGAGAGTAAAAATTTGAGGGCAGACCATGACTATTTTCACCAATATATTTCAATGTCACATATGTGTGTGTATGTTAGAGTATACCTGCTTCAAGGAATGTTATTTAATTTTAAATTTTTTCAGTAAAAGTATAAATAAAATCTGAAGCTTTTATACACAGAGAAACCAGAGTTGAAGACTTTCATAATTGTGTTCATTTTTTCCCGCCTTCTGTATCTTCTCTTTTCCTGCACAAAAGTTATTTCCCTATTTTATATATATGAATTTTTTAAATCAGTTTTAAATAAAAACTGATCAACATTGTCATTTTTGGAACTCATATTCCAAGGTTGTGTAATTATGGAGGAAAAAAGATTAAATGTATTTATTATTCTGAATACAGAAAATGTGAGGGGAAAAACGCAACCAACAATATTAGGTTTTCTTCTGGATTGTTGCACAATTGTATGCGATCAAACATTTTGAGACTTGATCCTTTAAACAACAATCCTGTCCAGATTATTTTTTAAGGGAAAAAACCTCTTAACCAAGTTAACAGAGTTGTTCTTGCTGATTTTGTCTACAAAAAGACTAAAGTATCATAAAATAAAAACCAGCAAATTCACTGGGCCAGATCATTGCAAAGGGTTCTATCTTATTATAATTTAATGATAGTTTAAAGAGACAGTTTTGGTACTTTAAAGGTTGATTTGCTTCTCAGAAAAAGATCAACAACATTTCAAAATGCAAAGGAAATCTCTTTTAAAGTTTCAAAAGAGTTTAAGAATAAGAATTTGAAAGGAAGGGCCAAGCCAGTATATCAAGAGATGTAAATGCTTGGAGGCTCATTATGGCTCATTCCTTAAATGAAAACATTTTAGAACTGGAAAACACATGAGAAATCACTGAAGTTCAATTCCTACTTTTCAGAGAAGAGGAGACTGCAGCCCAGAGGGGCTGAGCCTTTATCTAACACCACACCCTGCTAATATGGCAGAACTGGGATCAGAAAAAAGTCTTCGAGACTTCTTCCAATTCTGTGTGCTTCAATCTCCTTCACTTCACATCTGCCTTAGGCTTTGAATACTATCACAGAAAATCTATTTATATACATTCTAAAATGATCTTGTATTCTTACCAACTGTAATATATTCTTCACTATATTCCATTCTAGGACTATGTTTCTTTAAAGTTTAAGAATTGAATTAAATTACTTTAAAATGTAAATTATTTTAGTAAAATCATGACTTCCTCTCTAAATTACGTTTTGTTGACAGGTTTTTGTATAATGAGATTTATCTTTACAAAAATTAAATTCCTAATACTGACAAGAAGATAATGGTCCTAATACTGACAAGTAGTACTCAGCATGAAATTTAAAATATTTCCAGATAGACTCTGAATTCAGTGTAATAAAAGTATATTATTCATCTTCATTTCTAATTCTGTATGCTTCAGTGACACAATAAACACATCTTTACATATTTTAAATAAATGGTGTTACAATCAAGAATAGATACTTTAAATCAGAATGCTTCTATGCTTGGATAGCATTGGTGCAACTGAACCAGAGGACCCACAGAATAGAACCAAGTGGTAATTCAATATAAACCACTCCAGTACATACCGAGCCACCTATATTTCATGTAAGATTTCACCTTGCCAGTAAGAATATAAGTGCATTCATCTGAAAGCATAAGATTAGTAGCAATATGACAATCACCAAGATTTATTTTTGGTCAGTGGTAAAAAAGAATTATTTTAAGCACTACCATAGTTTCTTAACATCTTAAAAAATATTAAAACATTATATAGTGTACAATTCAACTTCTGACTCTGGAAAACATTAATAAAGTTATTTACTCTTTTTGTTTTTAAAGTCAGTAAAGTTATTGAATTTACTGGAATAAAAGACAAATTCATTCAGAAGAATCCTTTGTGTATTTATTGATAATCTCAGTAGCAATAACCAATCATAGATCCCAAGAATAAAAGTTTGTATCAATACAGTATTATTTAAAATTCTTACATTGTGAGAATTGCAGTTTGATAGTTTTTATGGAAGTATTCCATCCTTGGAAAAATCTCATACTTTAAGATACCAGTAAAAATAAAGTAAGACAAGAAGGCAGATATTGAATTATGAAAAACATACAGATTAATCAGTGTTACTTTTTCATTATATAAGAAATTAGAAATTATATCTGAATTAGCAAAAAAGTTAAACAAAATGTGGTCCAAATTTATTACTTGTTTTGAAATAATTACCTATGACTCTTCTATGTAAGGTGAATAAATGTAGAATACATTTAATTTCCAGAGAGGGTGAAAATCTTCATTTAACATCATTCAAAATTTACTAATATGTCAGCACATATTAATATGTTTATAATGACACAATTAACCTGTCACGTGTCCTAAGGAAAATAAAGAAAAAAGCAAAATAAAACAAGCCTTTATAGGGTCTACTAAATTGTCCTGCCAAACCACATCTGATGCATTGTGTAATGTACAATTCATTGAGTGCTACAATGAAATAGAGACATTGAGATATAAAGAGACACTTTAGGTGGGGTAACCAAGAAGAAAGACCCAGAAACTGTCTCATATTGATGGTTCTGATTCATTACAGAAACGGAAGACTAAAGGAAGACAGGATAGCTGTTTCCAAGTATTTAAAGGATTGCCATAGACAACAGAAGAATGCTTTGCTCTTCTTTGTTCTAGAGGCCAGAGACAAATTTCAGCTTAGAGGAAGGAAAAAAATATACATAACAAATGGAGTGTTTCAACAATAGAATATATGAGATTCTGAGGTAGGATGGGCCCCATTAGAGGAAATACTTAAGCACAAGCTGACAGAATGTCAGCAATGATGTAAAGAGAATTCGATGAGCTCTATGCTTTCTAATTCTAAAGACATGCACCCTTTAAGAAATTTGAAATTGAAAGTGAACTGAATTATTTCATTGTATCGACAAATGACTTGCCTATATTCCTGCAGTCACTTTTGATTATTGACTTTGGTGTTTCTGAAATAATGTAAAATCATCCTTCGTATCTGGCAAGATGCCTCCTGAGGAAGCGCAGATGGTTTTAGACACACAATGGCCTTATTTTAACAAATATATCCTTTTCTGCAATGGCACATTCACACTAAGTTGCACACACTCACACCACTAATCTTTCACCTGTGACTAAGAAAAACAACAACAACAACAAAGATTTCCACAGAGGATAGTAGAAATGTTATTTAAAATTGCCTAGAAAATTTAAATACTGCCAGTCACGTTCAACTTGAAAGAATCATGGAAGTCTCTTTGTAACTGTGAATTTTCTTTCAAATATAATTTCAAGTAAGTGGATCACTGACTAGGACTTTTAAAAAACTTTTATTTGAATAATTTTCTCTTGTGGTCTCTTTACATATGATATATTTTAAGTTTTCTGTGTCCCTAACACATTTTTATACTCAGGAAAGATAAAACCATGTTCGAATGCTTATATTGTAAGTGGTTTTAAAGAGATTAATGGTTTTTTTTTTTTTTTTCTGAGATACAATTAATTTTTGGGTCATTTTGTACAGAGGAACCATACTCAAAAGCCTTGTTTTTAACATGTAGCTGCAGAAGAAAAAGCAATTTTATGATCTGCCTGAGCCAGCTCTTACTGGAAATGGCAGAGCTAAGGCAGAACCGAAGCTGCTACTGCCCAGTACACTGTTTTTATCCTCCACTGCTTAGTTCAACGTAATTCTCCCCAGAGTTGATTTAAATGCTTTCATCAGTACTAATGGTTTGTGCTAAGAGTGTACTTTATGGTATAACAAATTAAGATTTATTTTCTTGATCTTGTAATATTAAGACTACTGAATCAAGTCTTCTTTTATGTTACTTACCTTAAGAAAATATCTCATTTCTCAAAATGAATACATAGATATTTAATATAAAAACAAATGAACAACAAGTACTGACAAACCACAATACATTTTATAACATTATGGAGAAACAAACACGTATTGATGAAGCAGGCATTTGTTTATCAGAAGGAATCCATTTCTTACTAAGGAAAACCTAAGGAAAATGGAAAATAAAAGCACCAAGAAGGGTGGAATGCGAAAGGAGTCTGCATGTCTGCTTCCAAAACAAAGAAAGGCAGGAGAAAGAAAAATAGAATGTGCCCATAAAAGCTACATAAAATGGGACTCTCACTTGAAAAACTTAAGATAAACTCCAGCACACCTTGTGCGTTGTACATGCTGACAGAAGGGTTGTTACAGACCGCCGGTTCCCCAAGCAATGTATTATAGGGATTGTTAGTACCATGCGGACGAAGCAGAGCATTGCTTATAAGATGATTAGCCATGGCTCCTGGAGCAGCCCCATAGAAAGACAGAGAAAAAAAAAAAAAAAGGTCAATCAGGCAAATGTGTTTGAAAAAAAGAAAGGAAACATTTAGAATGACAACAATTGATATAGTCCTGATTACAGGCAGGCAGCTAACTAGACTAAAAAAATATGCCACTTAGAGCACACATTTCCAACAATGCACATATCTGAGTCAATGGGAAAGAAAGAAAATGATTTACAATGTTGATTAAGCTACATTTAAGGTTTTCTTTTTCCCAAGGTGTATGTTAGAATATATTTCCATGCTTGCTAAAAATGAAAATGAAAATGAAAAAAAGCAAAATCTAATCATTCATACAAACAAAACACAAAACAAAAGTCAAAAAAAGTTTAAAACAGAAAAAGAAAAGCAAAAATTAAAACATTCCCTCATTCACAGAAACCACTGGGTTGTTTCCAATGAAAGTAAAAAAGGATAAAGGCAACATTTATGATAAAACACTCATTTGGAGAGCAGTTGTTGACACAACAGAATTTGACATTTCTGAAATTCTATGAAGAGGAATCATTTAAGATGAAATAAAACAAAATATAATCACCCATTAGTACACCACGGTAAGCATACTAATTTGGTGATCTTACAAATCTGATAAAAAAATCAGAGAGATGCTATTTTTAAATATTGTAAGTAAATTATTAAGTTTACAATGTCAAGCAATATACATATATATACATATATAACACTCCATTTTCCGTTTCCCAACTGGCTGTTTGGAATTGACATAGCAACGAAACAGTATTAAATTCTTTCACCCTTTTGTGAATACTTTTTGTTCTTAGTTTCTAACACCATCAGCATGACTTGCAACTTTCCATCCTCCAAAGCCATTTAACCAAGAAGCAAAGATCAGAGAAGTTTTATTAATATACTTAGGACATTTATGAAAATAATAGAATTGTGTATTTGTGTTAGATGAGAAAGAAAGAAAAAGTCACAAAGGAAAGGAAAATACAAATGGCATGGGAATAGTCATGTTGAACTGACAAGTATATGTTAATTTAAATATATGTATTACAGGATGAAAACACAAGCTATAGGCTGGGAGACAGATTTGTAAAACAAATTTACAAATATTTTTAATCCAAAAAATAACTAGTATCGAGCATGCAGAAAGAAGTCTCAAAAGTCAACATTAAAAAAAAAACTAATAGCAACAACAAACACTCCAATTAGAAAATGGTTCAAAAGCATAAACAGATATTTTGTGGAAGAGGATACATAAGTGGCAAATAATCTTATGAAACAAATTGTTATTGGCCTTAAAGAAATACAGGTTAAAAACACAATGAGACATTACTACATATCTAAAATAAAAATGATGAAAAATACTAAACGATGGCAAGAATGCAGAGAAATGATTATTTGGACATCGTTGGTGGGAATGCAAAATAATACAGCCATTCTGGAAAACAGTTTGGCAGTTTCTTATAAAACTACTTGTGCAATTATTATGACACCCAGCAACTGCATTCTTGAACATTTATCCCAGAGAAATGGAAATTTACATTCACACAAAAACCTGTACATGAATGTTCATTGCAACTTTATTTGTAGTAGCTCCAAACTGGAAACAACCCAAGTTTCCTTCAACTGGTGAGTGGTCAAACAATCTGTAGTATTCCCATACCATGAAATACTAGTCAACAACCAAAAGGAACAAACTATTGATACACATAAAAACTTGGATAAATCTTTAGAGAATTTTACTGAGTAAGAAAAGTCAATCCCCAAAATTTACATACTGTTTAATTTCATTTATACATGTAATGTTCTTGAAATGACGAAATTATAGAAATGGAGAACAGATAACTGGTTGCTAGGGGTTAAAGATAGAAGATGGAAGTAAGTGAGTATTGTCATGAAGGGCAGCATGAAGCATCCTTGTGGTCATAAAATTATCTACTCTGTATCTTCACTATGATGGTGTAAATATGAACTTACTTTGTGGGTAAAATTGCATGGAACTAAACACATACATACAATTAACTACAGGTTAAACTAAAGAAATCTGAACAAGAGTGGTGGACTGTATCAATATTAATATTCTGGGGTGATACTGCAGCATAGTTTCACAAAATATGAGGGAAACTGGGTAAGTGATACAATATCTCTCAGTATTATTTCCTACAACAGCATGTGAATCTACAATTACCTCAAAATAATAAGTAATTAGGCCGGGCACAGTGGCTCACACCTGTAATCCCAGCACTTTAGCAATCCATATTAAATTAATGAAACAACAACAAAAAAGTCACTCCTAAAAACTGTTAAAAATGAGAAGGGAAGTGTGGGTAGTAGTATTTTCGATCTTTTCTAAATTATAACTCTTTGTCAGAGTAAATTATCAGTCAAGTAACAAATGTCTTAACCTCAACATTGAAAAAATGAACATCTCTTGATTTAAAGGACACTATCCCTTGTCAGATCTCTAGAGTTGGAAGGCATCAGTTCATTCAGGAAATAACTCATGTGTTTGCATCCTGTATTTCTTGCAAATAATTAGCATAGAACTGTCACCGAATTTTTCACTTTCTAAGTGTTCAATATTTGCTTTCTGAAGATGTAAAACATATACATCTAAATGTTCTTACATAGTGCAACGGCAGATTTGCAATCTATTGTGTAATGGGTCTATAAGGGCATTATTTTCCATTAATGAATTAAATATATGGTATTTTATGAGAAAAAAGGAGTTCATCATAGTGCCTTTCAGACAGAAAAATAAAAAATCGTACATCTTGAACATTTATATTGTTGATGTTCTGCAAATTTAAGATGAATAACAGGATTTAGTCTGCATAGCATATTAGAAAACCAAATTATCTGTAAATTATACTTCCCATCTTATATTTACTATTCTAGATATTTTTCAAGTAAAAAAGTAAAATTAGTTTTCTAATACAATAATTTCTAAAATCACCCTAAATAAGCATTTAAATAGAAAATGAAAGGTATAAGTTAAAATGAACTAGTGTAAAAAATCTTAAAAAACATATAATTGCCAAAATTGTTTATACTCCCTCAAAAATAAGGGCAAGATTTTTATGGCTAAGGCTTGCAGTTGCATCTCTCCGTATTTCCCTTCATTGCTATACATTATCTAATTTGAACTAGTTGGAAAACAAATAATAAGGTAGGGAGATTGCACGCCACTCTTCTTCCTTGCTTCATATAGCTCCAAAAGTAAAATATTTCTTTGTCTTAAATACATATATATTTTTTCTATGTTGATCTAAAAGAAGATAATTTGAAAAAAGAAAAATGCACTTTTGAATAAGGAACAATTGATTTGGGAAGAATCAAATGCAAGCAAGAAGCGGATGACTCAACTTTCTGGTTTCTGTGTTTATCATTCACTTTATTGAAAAGCTAAGAATACAAGAACAAAAAAGGATTAATCATACAAAGAAAGAGGAGTTTTATATTGGATTTCTAATGAAACTATCAAAGATTTTAAAAATATTCTATGTGGTTATATCTATCCTGGCATAAGCTTCCTTGTCAGTTTTTGTAAGTGTTTTCTAATTTTGAATGTATTTTAAAACTACTTTGATCAGTGAAACTATTAATCTGAGAAGACAGTTCTAAAGTTCATTTTCTTTTTCAATCATTTCTGCAAAGCTGGAAAATCCAGCAACAATGGCAGAAATACTATATAGCTAAGTGTTATGACACAATGGTGGCTACATGGAACAATATTTAGTCTCAGCCATGTGGCTTTGGTAGGTTGCTTCTTCACATCTCAATGTAATCCAGAATCAGTTATTGATCTGTAGCCCTAATGAGTGTCATGCAGTCATAACTGGAGATCTATCTGCTGGTTACACTGAAACCATATAAAGATTTATAAAAAATAACATAAAAGTATTAAGGAAAATGCATGTTCCTCTTTACCCTTGTTATTAAGGACCTTTTCCTGACAAAAGAAAATAATCGCTACTTAAAAATCACTTGCTTCTTTATTGTCTAGCACTCACTTTCATGCCTCATGCACCATTTGAAATCAATGTAATTATTGTTTCTGAAATTAACTCTGCAAATGGAGAGTTATAATTCAAATGAGGTCTTCAGCAACAGAAACAAAAAAGAAAGAAATGGAATTTGATGATTAGTGTTTTTCAAAGTGTATAAAGACACAGATAAGCTCTGTGGGTTTGTGAGTATGAAAGAGTAAGGGATATGTCTGAGTAATCAAACAATTTTTCCTCATTTGATTCACCTAATGTAAGAATTAAATACTTTTCCATGACTATTTAGGACTCGGAGTGACCTTGAGAGGACATGCTTCCTATCACTCTACCAAACAAGTACAATTTTTCTGGAAGGTACTATCACATAGTTCCTACAGTCCACACTCACTAAGTAAGCATTTCAATTATACTTCTGAATAGTAGCACTGACTGTGCTGAAAACAAAACCTAGCTTGCTGCCAATGCCTAGATCTTTTAACTAAAAACTTGCACAGAAGCTGTCTTCCTCCCCCTTTTATGTGCAAAGTTACTTTTGTCTTTTCTCTGCAGCTGCACTGCATTTCTCTTGCCTTTGCTGAAGTCTATTCTGTTTGCTTTTGGCTGTCTCCTCAATTGACTTAGGTCATTTTTAATTCTAATACTGTCTTCCAGGATTCTGTCTACCCTGTCTCTTCCTCTTCCTTTCAACCAGCTTCTGATTTGTAAACTTCCCTTCTAATACATGTGAAACTGTTGAAGACTTCCAAGAAGTTCAGTGTTTACAGACCATCTGTCACTGTTTCTCACTGAAAAGTTGGGCTTACTCGTTAGTCAGTTTGAAGACATACATATGATGGTGAATTTTGGGGGCTCAGGGAGGACGAGATAGTTACAATATTACATATGTGAAAAGAAGGTTCATGTGTTCATGTGCTAATTTTTCCTGGAATGGAGAGGCACCATGAAAAAGCAATATACAGGGGTTTTCACTGCTCTACATCAAGTATCTC